CAAAATTTATGAAACTAAATTTTGATATAAATTTATTTCAAAATTGTTAAAATGTTAGTTTTTCTATAAAATATAATTAAGAATAATAAAAGTTTTAATAAAAAATTTCTTCAAAATTTTGATATTTGATAAGACAATCAGTTTTAATGAGACATTTGGTAATCTAATCTAGAGACCTATCTAGAGGTCTATCTAGAGGTCTAGAATCTAGAGGTCAGGTAAATCTGAGGTAGGATAGATGCAAGGTAAAAGTTCAAGTCAACAGTGTACCCTCCAGTTTTGTCCCGGTCACCCTCAGGGGGACTAAATCAGTTTTTATTTCTCATTTGAGTTGTCCACCATGATAATCTGTAGTCTGATGTAATAGTTTTTTTATGTATTTTTTCTTTGGAGAAAATACTGAAGAAAAAATTACTAAAATATGTTATATTACTAAAATATGTTTAATAAGAAATGGTTTAATTAAAAGTAAATTATTTAATTAATTAAATTAGTTAAAGGTTGTCATTTTTGTTGTAGTCGATATCTGTTTCATATTGTTTCATTTTGTCAACCTTACTAAAGGTTTTTTACTTGAGGCAAAAAAGTTGAAAGCTAATACCGCAAAGAAACATTTTATATATAAAAAAATATTTGGGGGATCTTTTTTTTTTTAAGGGCCCTTTGGTACTTTTTAAGGATTCACCCCCACCCCCTCAATATATTTGTAGATTCGTCTCTTAACATTTTTTTTTAGAAAAAAATTATTTTCACATCATTAATTGCATTTTAATTATGATTAATAATAAAATTTATTTTAAATAAATAATAAAAAATTTTAATAATAATAATGATTTCATGTTCATCTGTTCATCATAATGTTTTTTATTTTCATTTCTTATTTTTGTTCGACAAAGTTAAAATAAATTTTTTTTTATTTAAATGAAAAACAAAAGAGATTGTTATTTATGATTCAACTGCTTTTAAAAAAAACGTGCTTTAAAATGCAACAAAATCTTACCAAAAACAATAAAAAAAATTTATTTAATTAATTAAATAAATTTAATTAGAAAAATTAAATTGCGTATCAGCTTCTTTTTATTAAATTTGGTAAAAATATATAATGCACCGCATTGTACTCATTAAATGAAGTGTATACTACTTTAAATGCTTTTTAAAGTTTTCTTTTATATAATTGCAAGGAATAAAATCTTCATAAATCAAAGTGTAGTTTTATTAAAAGACACACTTTTATAAGTAACAAATTGTCTGGTCGTTCTGCCGGGCTACCGACAGGCATTTTTTAAAAAATTTCAATTGCCCTTGGAGAAAACAAGTTGTCATGTGCTACCGGACAACCATGTGGGTGCATAACATGATCTGAATCACCTAAAGAAGAAAAATGAGAAACTGAACTCAAGTGAGCTCTTATATATGTTGTACTTTATATATATGTACATTGCGTGACAATAATGAGTCAACCCAAAAATATTTATATAACTCTACTATACATTTATATTTAAAACTAATTTTTATTGTAAATGAAAGCAAAGGGTTTACAACATTAAACAGCATTTAAAAAAAGTTTATTTTAAATGTAACTTGCGCTTTATTTAAAAAAAAACATTTTTTCAGTGTGACAAAATTATAAGACACTATTACAACAAAGGTTTTATTTACAAACCGCAATTGTGTGCAATTACGAATATTTGTTTTATGTAAGCACCACAGACAATTATTTAACTGTAAACTGTTGTGAACCATCAAAAATTTAATTTGGTTTTTTTTTTATTAGGTATAAAATAAGAAATTAATTAATAATAGGTCATGCTGCACCATTGAGTCCAGATGAGAATAATATGTTCTCTAACTTATTGAAAATGGGTCTTTCCGTTAGTTACATGGTTAGAGCCAATGGACTCAGCTGAAATGAGATTAGAAACTATGTTAATAGTCCTCATATGTATGGAATAAAAAAAAGTCCCACGTGTTCATCAACATTAAGTGACCATGATGGACAAAAGATGTTGAACCAAATTCAAATTCTTTATTAACTGCATGTTAAATTGCTGCAGAAGCAGGTGTGATTGCTAATTTACGTACAGTTAAGCAAGTTTTCATAGTACTTTTCACCTTTTGCACAAAAAAATTTAACAAAAACCACCTTAGACAACAAAACACATAAACAATGAAATAACTTTTGCAAAGGACCATGTAAAATAGAAAGAAGAGTGGCAGCGAGTTTTTTCTAATGAAAAATGATTTTGTCTTGATGGGCCAGATATATGGAATTATTATTTTCACAAATTGCGTAAAGAACCAGTCACACAACAATGACGCCAAATGGATGGTGGTTGTGTAATGAATTGGGTATCATGATTTTTCTGTCATTTTAATGAAGGAAAAATCAATGCTAAAGATTATCTTTTAATTGTACAAAAATTTTTATGACGCAAAGCATCTGTCATTGGTGATGAAAGTTTTGTTTTTTCAGCAAGATAATGCTAGAGTTATACAGCTGAGGTAATAAAAGATTATTTCAACAAAAGTGAAATTGAAACCTTGAAATGGTCAGCTAGATCCCAGACCTAAGTATTATTGAGAATGCTTGGGGACAGCTATCACATATAGTGTTTGAACGTGGGTAAACAATATAGTTCACTACTGATTTGAAATCATCCATCACATCTGCATGGGATGCAATTGACGTTTTATACATAAAAAAGTTTTATGGTTCTTTACCTTCTAGAATGATTAAAGTGATTCAAAGAAATGGTAAAAGTATCTACTATTGATTTTTTTAAATGGAGTCATCTTTTACTATAAAAGACCATAATTTCCAAAAGTGTCATAATTTTATTGCACTAAAAAAACAATTTTTTTTTCAAATAAAGTTCTGTTGCAAATAAATTTTTTAAAAAGTTGTTTAGTCTTGTAAACCTTTTGCTCTCATTTACTATAAAAATTAATTTTTAAATATATATATATATATATATATATATATATATATATATATATATATATATATATATATATATATATATATATATATATATATATATATATATATATATATATATATATATATATATATATATATATATGTATATATATACAAAGAACCAATCACACAGCAATGATGCCATATATATATATATATATATATATATATATATATATATATATATATATATATATATATATATATATATATATATATATATATATATATATATATATATATATATATATATATATATATATAAATATATATATATATATATATATATATATATATATATATATAATATATATATATATATATATATATATATATATATATATATATATATATATATATATATATATATATATATATATTTATATATATATATATATATATATATATATATATATATATATATATATATATATATATATATATATATATATTTATATATATATAACAACCACTTTAGCTTGCAATTGTAAACTAAGCAAAATCTGCCCTATGAATGGAAATTGCAGAAAAACAAATGTAATTTATAAATGCATTGCATCATTCCCAAACACACCCGACAAAACATACATTGGTTTAACAGAGGGCATGTAGAAAACTAGATGGGCGAATCACGGGCAATCCTTCAAAAATAAAAAACTCACAAATGCAACCACGCTTTCTAAATATATATGGGATACACAAAATAAAACAAAAACAACACCTAATTTAAAATAGTCCATCATAAAATTTGCCCCCGCCCACAACAACATAACCAAAAAATGCTTGTTATGCTTATACAAAAAACTAATTGTTTTATTGTATAAAAATCCTCAAAAATTATTAAACAAAAAAAATGAACTAATTTCTAAATGTCGCCATGAGAACAAGTTTTTGCTGGACCACAAACCAATAGATTAGATTTTTTAACTCATTTTTTTTTGTACAGATTTATTATTTTATATATATATATATATATATATATATATATATATATATATATATATATATGTATATATATATATATATATATATATATATATATATATATATATATATATATATATATATATATATATATATATATATGTATATATATATATATATATATATATATATATATATATATATATATATGTATATATATATATATATATATATATATATATATATATATATATATATATATATGTATATATATATATATATATATATATATATATATATATATATATATATATATATATATATATATATATATATATATATATATATATGCAAGAGCAGAGAAAGGCTCTCCTAAAAAAATATGGTGTGCCATGCAAGCTTTTCCCCTAAACAGCTTCTTACAAAAGCTTTTGCTTTTTTTTTGAGCTATATGTTTATTCATAAAAGAATTGCTTATTAAATACAAAATTGGTATTATACTTGTTAAAAGAATATGTTTGTAACGTTGATGTTACAAGAATATATACATAACAAGCGTCATTTATTGTGCTATGAAAAAGATCTTTAGATGAACATTGTCTATGGGTTTTCACACTATATATTCATTTGTTTATTAACAACAGTTATTTGATAAAAAAAAATATTGTTTAATAAATAAATTGTCTTTTTACAACTAGGAAAAGCTTATTTCAACTTTAAAAACTTTTGAAGACAAGGAGTATGATTCCCCTCTTAATATGTATAGGAAGATGATTGGTTAGTTATTATAACATAAATTTACATTACTTTATTATATATTTGTATATGTTTTTTATTATTTATTATATAATTATATTATATAACAGTATTTATCTCTTATTTCATTAGTTTTTTATATAAATATTTTGTTAATTATGGACAAATGCTCAACAAATCTAAGTGTTTTTTCTTGGAAATACTCTGAATAGTTTGATCTTTATACTAGTGATGATGGTGGATGAATTTTTTTAAGCATTTGTTTTTCATTTTCCATAACTAAAAGTTATGGAAAATGAAAATTTTGTTTGTTTTTTGTTGTTTTAAGATTAGCCTAAACACTTTAAGCTAAAATGCTGCTCTCTTTGGGATGGTTTGAAATGTTTTTTCTAGTTTTAACCATGAAGATAAGTTGCAGAATATTCTAGGATAAAATGTTTATAAAATGATGATATATTTTTAATGTTTCACAAATATTTTTAACATTTTTATTTTGTCAAACATTACCTGTTTAATTAAACCTTGTTTTAAAACATTTATTTTGTTAAATAATTTATTAAAAAAAATAATGTTTTGATAAAACGTTTTTGTTTTGTTAAACCTGTTTAATTAAACCTTATTTAAATAAACCTTGTTTAAAGGTTAATCTAAGAAGTTAATCTAAGGTTTTTATCTTAGAATTATCTTAATCAGATTAAGTTAACTTAAAAATTTATGAAAAAAATTTAAAGAAAAAAGAAACAAATTGAAATAGGCTAATACTAAATAAGATATAAATTGTTCAGAGAAGTGTTTTAATATGGAATTTATTGTAAATGAACCTAAACAGCATAATAGGATAAAAAAATTACATTAAGGTGCACCATCACAATCATTTATAGATCTCTCAATAACATCCAAAAAAAAAAAGATTGACAGAGACTAATGAATAAATGAGTTACCATGGATCCTGCAATATATTTTGATGTAAAGTCTTCTCACCAAAAAAAACCTCTATCTTCAATACTAAACTGTAAGCCATATGTTTGTTATTTGTTCGATCTGAAAGACAAATAACCAAAGCTAATATTTGTCTGACCAGGTCATTTTATGTCAAGATCATTGTAAAACACGATAAAACTTCATTCATAAATATGATAAAACATTCATAGAACTTTCACCAAGGAAGAAAAAAATTAGCGATTGCTTGAAATAATATAATTTTAAGATCAGCCCTCAGAATTAGGGTGGGCATTCGGTAATGCTGACCTAACTGCCAATCTAAAAGTGTTTAAGGTTGGCAAAAAATCGCCGACCTCGTTTCTATGTTTGATGGTAATCTCTTTGTGTCAAATATTTTTTGCTGACCTGATGCCGACCTCTAACAATTTATTGCCAACTTCATTTTTTCTAATTCTTAGGGTTGATATATATATATATATATATATATATATATATATATATATATATATATTATATATATATATATATATATATATATATATATATATATATATATATATATATATATACATATATACATATATACATTACAGGACTGAATGTTTTTACTGTTATAGTTGTAGAAATACCATCCAAGATTTTTTTTTTTAATTATCTTTGCTTTCTACAAGGCTGCAAGCAACCACTAATTAGTGTGGGACGTTACTGGAAGAGAAAAGATGAAGATTGTAGAGCAAAATAACAATTGACAGACGACTTAAAAGATTGCAAATTGTATGAATCAGGAAAGCAAGATGAAGAAAGAGAATTCCACAGAACTGATGTTCGAGGAAAAAAATCTAGACGAATAAGAGTTTTTAGAGCACTTAGGAATAGTAACAGAAAAAGGATGAGACTTAATTGAATGACGAGTAACACGAGAATGAATTATAGTAGATGGCACAAGAGACGCTAGCTCTTTAGAGCAGTGTCCATTATAGTATTTGTAGAAAAGAGAAAGAGAAGCAACATTACAACGATGTGACAGAGGTTGAAGGTTGGCTGCATGAGCAGGTCCAACTATGTTTACAATGCGTTTTTGCACCTTGTCTAAAAGAGAAAGGGCATCATTAGAAGATCCGCCCCAGATATATCAACAGTATTCTATACAAGGCTGGATTTGAGATTTATAGAGATAGAGAATAGAATCCAGAGTAAGAAAGTGACGAGCTCGATAAAGAGAAGCAACTTTAGCAGATGCTAATTTTGCAACAGATTTGATATAAGGTTTCCAAGAAAGATCAGAAGTAAGAGTTAATCATAGAAGATGAAGGGTAGGAGGCTCATCGAGTACATTACCGTTCATAAATATAGGAAGGTCTAAATTATCGTGATAACGATTGGCCAAAAAAAATTGAGTTTTATCTGAATTAAAGTTCACCAGCCACTGTGAGCCTCATACTGTAGCAGAAGTGAGATCCTTTTCAAGCTCAGATGCCCCCTGCAAGCAATCAGAGGGAGTTGGCTTCTTATCGTGACAAGAATAAATGGTAGTATTATCAGCAAACAATACCACCTTAGATGTGAGAATATCTGGAAGATCGTTAATGTAAATTAAAAAGAGTATAGGGCCAAGGATTGAACCTTGAGGAACCCCTGAGGTTACAGAATAAGAAGAAGAGTGCTGTCCATCTAGGACAACTTTTATACTACAATTGGAAAGAAAGGATTCAATAGTCTTAAAGATGTTTCCAGATACACCGTAAGAAGAAAGCTTAGAAATGTCAAGAGCAATGGCCTTAACCTCTCCACCTTTATCTAATGCGCGATAAAACCTATCAGTTATTACTGATAGCAAATCAGCCGTAGAACGAGAAGATCGAAATCCATATTGATGATCAGAAAGTAGGTTATGAGATTTGAGATGAGAGATTAAGTGTTTGTTGATGAGAGATTAAGTGTTTGTCGAGATGAGAGATTAAGTGTTTGACAGCTCCGGAGAACACTTCTGCAAGACTATAACAGGTATGTTGTCTGGGCTGCAAGTTGTAGAAGAGTCTAAGCGGGAAATCACTTTAGATACAGAAGCTGGAGTGATATGAATGTCGAGCAATGGATCAATCTGTTTGACGGGTATATCAAGTAAAACGCAACTAGTGGCATCAAGAGATGATATTGATGAAAAGTTCTTGGCAAACAATTCAGCCTTGTCTTTAGGTGAGGTGACAAAGTCTGAACCATACAAAAGAGGTGGAATTATAGACTTGCCCTTATTATTGATACTATTAAAGATTCTCCAGAAGTCACGAGAGCCTAATTTTTGTGATGAAATATGAGATTTCATTGTCTGAGAATAGCGGGCTTTGGCGTTAGACAAAACCTTTTTACAATGGTTACTAGCAGTAATAAACAGACGTCTGTTTTCTGGAGAATTGTTTTGCTGATAGATATGGAAGTAATGGTTTCGATTGGCAATTGCAGCAGCACAATGTGAGGAAAACCATGGAGAAGAGTGAGGCTTGACCTGGAATCATTGAGAGGGAATAAAGGATTCCATGCCAGCCTGAATCCACAAAGTTATGTAAGAAGCACATTTGTCAACAGGGAGACGAAAGATTTCTACCCAGGGGCCATCATGAAGAAAATCACGGAAAGAGTCCCAGTCAGCTTTAAGGTAGTTGTAAGATATACAATGATAGGGGGATTCTGATGGTAAAAAAGAATGAGATAATAGTTTTAGAGAGGCCAAACCATGATCAGAAGCACCTAAGGGTGAGTGTGAAGAAACTGAGCACTGACTAGGATCAGAAACAAGACATAAGTCGAGTAGAGAAGGTAAATGATTCGGGTTGTCTGGAAAGCGAGTTGGAAAGTTGACTATTTGAGTTAGGGATTGAGAAAGACAAAAGTAATGCCTGCAGAGTCACTGACACTAGAGCCAAGCCATTCAGTGTGATGAACATTAAAGTCACCGACAACATCAATATTGGCTGATGGATAAAGAATGAGGGCTTGGTCAATTAATCAGAAATAACATGCAGTCTTGAGATGAGGGACAGCGATATAGAACAAAGAGAAAGGTGATAGAGTGAAGTGGTGCTAAACGAAAGCACATTTAAAGAGTAGTCTGTGGATTCAAACCTAGGTTTCCGACAAATGGGTGAATTCTTACGAATGTAAATGCCCAGGCCAAGCATGTGACTATTGGAGTCTTTACGAATTAAAGGAAGATAACCGTCAACACTAAGATCACAAGATGAGACAGCTGAACTTAAATTAGTCTCACAAAGAGCAAGTAGGTCTGGTGAACTTTGCAAGAGATAAGACTCAACAGAAGAAAAGTTACTTCGAAGACCACGAATATTGGTGAATGATAGGTTTAGCTAACTTGGTGATGACTGTGGTTTTTTGTGTTTTATAGTTTTTGTTACTTTATTAATTTTTAAATTTGTTAAAGAACTTGACTCGAAACATAGATAGTACTCAGTACACTGTTTTATAGCTCAAGCAATTGCCTCATTTCCACTAATAAACCCTAAGCCGTAACAAAGGGCTCCAATGTGGCCTTGGCAATGCACACCAAAAGTACAAACAGGGACACCATCCATGCGCAACATGGCACTGTTAGTACTCTGATATTTTTCAGCTGTTGATGGAATCAGCCTCTCTGAGAGCTACCACAGAGTTCGGGAAACCTGACTACCAGCCGACCTCAGAACCATAAAACTGAGTTTTAGAGCTGTATTTGGAGATAATAGAATGAGTTGCCTAGTCATAAAAACAGAGACACAAGCAAAACCCATTAATTGAATCAAGAAGATCCAGCGTTCAACATCCTAAACTGGAAACAATGTATTAAAAATACATCTGCGCCAGCCTAAAAGATGAAGAAGGGGTGCGAGGCTGGTCAACAGATAGAATCTGTTTACCTCTTAAGTCTTTGCCTAGGAGGCCTTCTACAAGACAGCAGCCGTATGCATGTAACATCTGCCCAAGATGAGTATTTTTATCGAGACACCATCTCTAGCCTTTACTCAACCAAGAGCCCCAAGGCAGGGGGTGTTTTATGTCGGAGTTTGCATCTCCTAGCCTTTGCCTAAAAATGGCTATGTTACCAGTAGCAGGATAAACCTGACCTAACATTTAATGATTAATGAGCTCTTACCTTTATCCACAATTAATTAATTTGTTTATTTTTTTATATGAATTTTTTTCTTATTTAAAGTGAGTTTTATTTACCACTTTTAAGAAGCCCACTCTTTCACCTGCTTAAAATAGGATAAGTTAAACTTCATGACCAGAACAAGCTTATATTTTTAATTTTTAATTATCATGTTTCTAATTTTAATGTAGTTATGTATTTAATGTTCATGTACTGATCTATCTAATTTTATAAAATTAATGTTTATTATAAAGTTATTGCAAAAAATGTCTATGCACTTAAGTTTCTAATGTTCATTTATATTTTTAATTATCAACTGCAATTGAATTAAATTTTTGTTTCACAATTGTTGTTTAGATTATTTTTTATTTTTTAGTTTGTGATATCCTGCCTTTAGTCATTAAGAGTCCTAACACACAAGTTCTGCAAAGTAAATCAATTAAACACCAGGTCTTATCCATTTATAATTTCATTTGTTCATTATATTAATTGTTTAATTTAATTCTACAATAGCAAAAATTGAATGTCTGTAACAATATTTAATATAGAATGTTTTATGAAAAGAAATTTAGTTATAGAGTAACATTTTTTGCTATTGTAACAATAATTATTTTTTATAAGAATATTAAATTAAAAAAAATTAGACATTTATTTCAAGCTGAATACTAATTTTGTTCTTTAAACTATCATAATTCTATTTTAAAACTTTGGACTAGAATTAGGTTAATTTTTTTTTACTTATTCCTCTGTGCAGCATCCTTATTCATCAAGGTTTGTGTTTCAGAATTAAAGAGTTTAGAGAAGTTTGTAACCATAATAAAGTATTGGCTACAGTTTACAATTTCATCGACATTTTAAAATAAAGTTCAAAATTTTTTCTTCTGGGCTAATAGTCACTACAGTTAATGAAGTTTTTAATCATTAATTTTATGTAAACATTTGTTCTTTAAACTATCATAATTCTATTTTAAAACTTTGGATCGCCTCTTTTCTCTACTTTGATTAACAAAGTTGCTGTGCAGGAAAAAAACTGAGCCTGTTACTTTCAGGGATGTGGTAGAAAAATATTGCAGCTTGTAATTTAAAAATATTTATAAGTTCATGCATAGGTGTTTAATCCATCATGGTTTTCTGGAGTATGGCTGGGCTGGCTTTGTGTCGTTCAGAGATAAATCTTTTACGCTGGTTACTATTAACTCAAGACTCTACTTAATGACATAACAGTATAGACTTACACATTACACCTGTACACCCTTATGCACCCTATTATGAGTAATTTTAAATTGATAACAACTTTAAAACTTTTATAAAGTTGTACTTAACCATGAAAAAAATGAAAATATATATTTTGAATTAATAACTAAATCAAAAATTGATTTAAAACTCTGGAAAAGCAGCAAGGATTTTATTTTAAACAGATTTGTAATATAAACTTAAAGTTCTATAGTTATCTGCAAATAGTTTTGTTGAAATTTTTAACCGTTTTAAATTTATTGAAGGCCACTGTTTAATTGCTTTTCAAGATAACTTTCTGGTGCTTGCTCGATTTTTTTCAGCTTAGACAACGACACCTGTACCTGGGATGTTTAAAATCTCTGACTACTCTTATATGTGACTTCTTTTAGCACTTTACCTTTTAGCACCTCTTCACTTGATCACCTTTTAGCACCTCTTCACTTGATCACCTTGGCACTTGAGTACCTTTTCACTAAATCATTTTTCTCTTGTTCAAAAGATGACCATTAGTGATTACAATTAATAAGTTAAATACAAACACTCAAATCTTAGCAGTGATATTTTCCATGGGTACTATCACAATATCTTCCAGTGATATTTTCCATGGGCATTATCACAATAATTATTTAACTTCACCATAAAATGAAAAATCTACAGCAAAGAGAGAAAAAAAACAATTCTTGACACATGGCGCATATTGTTGGACAATTCTAAAACATATGCTATAAATTACTCATTTATTGAATAAGTAATAATTATTTGAATAAATAATTATTACTTTGAATAACTAAAAATTTTTCACTAAAAATAATTGCAATACAGAAAGAAATCTAAAGGAAAATTCTCAGAAAATATTTTTTTAATTTCTGTTTTTTTTTTTTTTTTTTTTTTTTATTGTAGCAAGACTTTCTCATAGAATTCAAAATTTCAAATTTCAAATTTTTTTGTTGTTTGTTGAAAAAAGCCACAAATTCATCCAAACCTGTCATTAGTTACAACATATACAATTACATGAGTATTTTGTTTGTTTTAGGTGGATTGCTTTATTGTAAGCGAAGATCAAATGATAAGTTATTTGAATATGACAATGCAGTTTTTTGTTGCATATGCTATCAAAAAAGCATCTGTTCTACCTTGTGCCAATGATACTTCATTTAAAGATGATTTTGAATTAGATGAATCAATATCGAGTTGGAGCTTGTTGCATGAGAACTTTGTATGTTTTGCAACCAAACTTGGTTGGAGTAACGTTCTAAAGTTTAAAGACAAAATTGATCCTTCAAAAAATAGGTAGGAAACATTCAATAAAATTATTTTGGTTATATATATATATATATATATATATATGTATATATATATATATATATATATATATATATATATATATATATATATATATATATATATATATATATATATATATATATATATATATATATATATATATACACTAAGAAAAGGTACTAAAGTGTTTAAGTGCTACTAAAGTGTTTAAGTGCTACTTGAATGTTTATGCGCTACTTAAGAGATTATTTCTTTTTTAGACCTCTAAAGAGTCGATGGAAATCCTTGAGTAAAACCAGAGATGCACGAAATGCATTAGGATTGTTTTATGCAGTCTTTCAGCTTCATATCTTTGCTATGCTTGAATATTGTTCTATTATACTCAAATGTAATCAAAAAGGTATCTATAAGTATTTATTTTTTTCACTCATTTTAAGATGGCTAATGAATAGACACATCAATTTCTTTTTTACAGCTTCAAGTCCAAGTTCTGTTGAAACTCAGTGTATTTTGGTTGATAATGTTGGATACTTGACTTCTAAAGAAGCCACAGAAAAAACTGGTGTTAGGTAAAACAGGGTCATCATTGAATATTTATCCTGTATTTTTTTATTTTCTGTTTTTTTGCTTCTTTATGAAAGTCTCTTCAATTTTTCACAAATTCATTCCTAACAAGTTTAATTACAAATGTCTAACAAATCTATTTAATTATAAAATTTTAATAAATTTTTAACAACATTCAATTATAAAGTAACTAGAAAATAATTTTATGTCTAATTCATATTCCTATTCATCTAATTCATCTTGTGAAACTAAATTATATTTTGAGTTTAATAAGTATTTCATTTATGAATTTTTTTTTTTTATATAATTGAATGTAATTAATAATTTGCTTTTGTTTGTAACTAATAAAAAAACTTCTGATTTGAATTTCAAGATTTAGTTTTCTTAGAATAATGGGTTTTGGCATCCTAGAGATGAGGTCTCTTTGCATTAATTATTGCAATTCTTCCAATAATTGAAAGAAATTTGCAATCAAAAAAATTGTGCTTGTGAAAAAGATGAGAGAAATAGTTAGGATTAGGCATAACAACTGCACAAGAAGGAGAAAACTCTTGGGTAAGTAAGGCCTGATCAAGAAAAAAGTGAGGCCTGGTCTAGGAGAAAGAAGAAGTGCTTCCGAAGTCAGTCTGAATGCAGGATATTTCTAATTAGTCACACCTTTATGCAGAGAGACAATTTTATTTTTTTAACTAATTTAATCCCAATATAGCTGCTAGCAACTACTTGTAAGTTGACTCTTACTAGAAAACAAAAAATAGTGTTAAATAGTAAGGAAATAGTTGACAGAAGACTAGTTTGTAGGTTGTATGAAAAATTGTAGGTTGTATGAAAGGGTGTAGGTTGTATGAAAGGTAGTAGCTTGCATGAAAGGTTGTAGGTAGTATAAAAGGATTTAGGTTATATGAAAGGTTGTAGGTTGTATTAATCAAGAAAACATGATGATGGGAGAAAGTTCCAAAGCATTGATGTGTGAAGAAAAAAACTAGATGAATAAAAGTTTTTAGGGGATGAAAAGACAAATAAAGTAAAAAGATGTAACTTGTTGAATGGCAAATCAAGCAGAATGAGTTTTGATTGGCAGAACAAGAGATGATAGCTCATTTGAGCGGGTCATGATTGTATTTGTAAAAAAGTGGAAGAAGTACAACCACTGAACAACACCTTTTTAAATTGATTTTTTGAAATTAAAACACATTTCTTCTCTAGAGTTATCCTTGTGATGAAAAAATGATTACCATTAGATATAGCGGCTGCACAAGAAAGTTAAAACCATGGAGTAAATGATGAAAAGGAATGAAAGCTTCCATACCTGCCTGGATTTAGGAGGTTCTGTAAGAGGCACATATATCACCAAAGTGTGGAAAGACATCAGTCCAAGGTCTATTATGAAAAAAATTACAAAAAATCCCAGTCAACTTTTATGTAGTTGTAAGTAGTGTGATGGTTGGGTGAATCAAGATCAATATCAAGAAAATGAGATAAAAGATTTATAGAGATCATTGCATTTATGGAACCACCTAAAAGAACCACAAAGTTTCAAAAATTTCAAAAATTTCAAAAGTTCAAAACTTTGAAAGGGGATCACTTCCAGATGATTCCTTACAGATACTGTCTAATTACCGCACTACTCATTTGCATTGAATTTTTCCTCTAGCTTGTCTCTTGAATTTATTGGTGGCACTCTTCTCGTCATCCCAAAGAAACAGATTCATCCATGATAGACATCCAAATAACTATTCCTTTTGCAGAAGTTATTTCCCACATAAACTCTTCTACTGCTTGTGTTCCAGATGAATAAGATTCAACCGAACCACCTAAAAGAGAATAAAAAGAGACTGAACATATGTCTTGTCAGAGACAAGACTTGTGTTCAGTTAGAGAAAAGACTTGTTATCAGAGACAAGACTTGTTGTCAGAGACAAGGCTTGTGTTCAGTCTCTGTCAGAGACAAGACTCTGTCAGAGACAAGATGCAAATTAAGGACTGAAGATAAGTGGTTAGAGTTGTTAAAAAAACGAGTCACAAAGTTGACTATACTACCTGCAAAAGAAATAAGAAATACAGAAGTTATGAGCCAGATACAGAAGTTACATACAATACAATACAGAAGTTAGTGCCAGCAGGGTCAGTATTGTAAGAGCTAAGCATATCAGTGCCATGAGCATTAAAGTCACCAATAACAACAATATTGGCAGAGGAATAAAGAGGAAGAGTTTTGTTACTTTGATTAAACTCTCAACAGGTGAATTGATGTGTAAGTATATACCCAAGCCAAGCATGTGACTATTTGAGTCTTTACAAATCAAAAAATAATAGCCATCAACACTGAGATCCAAAGAAAAAACAACTGAATTTAAACTAGTCTCACAAAGAGCAAGGAAGTCTGGTGAATTTTTCAAGAGATTAGACTGATGAAAAGTTACTTAAAGACCATGAGTATTTGTAAAAGTTAGATTGAAAGAGGTGGTTTTGATGGATTTTTTTGTTTAATATTTTTTAGTCATTCTTTAAGTATTATTATATTGAAAAATTCACCAGATGTCCTTGCTCTTTGAGAGCTACTATAGAGTTCAAGACTTTACTAGCCGGTCTCAGAACCATTAAACTGTGTTTTAGACTTTATCCTAACTAGGAGATAACAGGAGGATTTGCATAGCCACTTTTAAGAAAGCACAAGCAACAATCTATGAGTCAAGACCCATCATTCATCATCCTAGGCAGGAAATAAAACAAAGGTTTATATCTATGCCAGCCTGATAGATGAAGAATTGATGTGAGATTTAGTCAACAAAATTATCATGTTCTGTTATGTTCTGTCATGATCTGTTTACATGATTATTAAAAGTTGAATAAACTTTTATTATTTATTTGTTTAAAAAATCTTATTTATTGATATGTTAAATGTTTAGAACACCTAAGAAAAAGAAAAAGTCAGATGATACAAATGTATGATTGCTAGAATTTAATTGATTTTGAAAGTAAATTTATATTGATTAATAGAGAATATAACTTTTATAAATTTTTTGTACTTTTGGTTGTTTTTTTGTTTAATTTTTGTTTACAAAAAAAAAATAAGTAAACAATGCTAAAGAAGTAATATTAGAATAAAAAATATTATATTAAAAATATAATAATATTTAAATAATATAATAATAATAAAAAAATAATATTTAAAAATATTATAATATATATATATATATATTTATATAATAAGACTTTAGTTTTTTAAAAATATTTTTAGTCTTATTCTGATTATTATTCTTCAAGTGAAGATGTTCCTATTATTATTCATCCAGGTATGTTCCTATCAATATATATATATATATATATATATATATATATATATATATATATATATATATATATATATATATATATATATATATATATATATATATATATATATATATATATATATATATATATATATATATATATATATATATATATATATATATATATATATATATATATATCTGTGTGTGTGTATTTATATATGTATGTATTATGTACATACATGTATTTTCTTCTTCTCTAACTTGATTTAATAGATGCTTCCTAATCTAGTGATTATGGTTAAATTGAGATTTCTCTAAAACTGCAAATGCTTTTTATTTATTATATTTTTTAATTAAATGTTACTTTGTTATCTTTAATTGTGTTGATAAACTTTTGTTTACAAATCAATGATTTGCAAAATGTTTCAGAAACAAATTGATGTGCATAAATAAGTTGTAAATTTTTTTAGCAAAAATCCATCGACTTCATATCGCTTGATTGCTAAACGTACAAAAGTCCTAAAATCTACTGTATTATAAATAAGTTTAAGACTACTCAAAGCTTCAAAAAAAAACCTGGAAATGGAAGAAAGAAAACTTCCCATAAATCCAAAAAGATAAAGTAGATTTTACATTTAATAGCAAGAAATCCTAACCAGTCATAGCGAGATCTAGCAAGAAAAGTACTTTAAAATGCTGGAATTAAAGCATTTCACAAGAAAAATACATCTGAGAAAAGCTCTAACAGTGAAATTAAAGGCATTCAACGTGCAAAGAATTTAGTTAAAATTATGGCGGATAAAAGTATGCGTATAATTGAAGACGATGAAACTTATTGGAAGGCGGATTTTCCACAACTTCCTGGTCAGCAATTTTACTATGAGAACAAAGATAAACCTGTAGATGATCAATTTAAATATATTCGCCAAAAAAAATTTGCATCCAAGTTCCTTGTGTGGCAAGCAATTTGTAGTTGTGGTATGCAGTCTTTTGTCACTAAGAAGACTTTGAATGTCAATCTCTTCATCAAAGAATGCCTCCAAAAATAACTTTTGCCATTTATGAAAAAATACAAACACCAATGTCTCTTTTGGTCATATCTTGCTGCTTCTCACTATTCTAAAAAATTTCTACAGTGGTGCAAAGATAACAGATTGAAGATTTTTTGGGCAACAGTTAAAGGAGTTCTTTTTAAGACAGGTGGAGTAACAAAAAATAAAAAAGGCTTCTAAAAAAAGTGGATTAATGCCACCAATAAGATGAAAAAAGAAAAATTCTGAGAAATGATGGTATCAATCTACTATAAAATTCAATCTCTTGCCAAACATTCCATCAAGCCCCTTAAAATTAAGTTAAAACTCTAATTGATGTAAACACATTTAATAAAAAAAAAAGTTAAAATAAAAAGCATTTATGGTTGTAGAGAAATCTCAAATTAAAGTTGACTGGATTTTTTCATGTCCATCCAATACCATGGCCCTTATATTATCAACAAATTAAGTTAATAGGTTAACTTGACTTGGTTGTACCCTCTCATTTTTGTTTTAGTGCATTTAAACATAATTGATTGTTTAAAAAGTAAGTTTACAGTTTACAGTTTGAAAGAAAAATCTGTGTAGTCCCAATTACAACTAGGTTTTTAACTTTTGTGCAGCTCATCTGTGTGCAGCTCATAGGCATTAGAAATGCCAAGGAATTATATTAAAAAAAAATGTATTTTTAAAAATGTAGAAGCAGTAATTTTTAATTTTTTTTTGAATACTGGCCATATTAAAAATGATAATCAAGATCATCAGACTATAACAGCTTTAAAACAGTTGTACATAGTTTTTTATACAAGTTGTACTATGATGCTTTGCATCCTAAAAATATCTTCATAAGTAATTTTTTTAAGTTGATATGGGCAAATAAACATACAAATTCAGTTTGACAATTGATGAGTGGGTGTCAATGAAAAATTGCAGATGTTCAAATTTAATTTTTAGGATAAATTTTGGAGCCTTGAATTAGTTAAAGTATTGGTTTACTGGCTACTGAAAAATGTATTTGATCCCCACTACATTCCTGGTAGTACTGGGCTCAACTTGTTTCTCCATGCAACAGCCTAGTTCATCAAGGTCTGTGTTCAATCACAGATAAAGTAGCCTTCTCAACTGTTATTGCCTTCTCAGCCTTGGGAAGATGAACTAACACAAAAAAAAAAAAAGTTAAAAGATAAGATAATGTGCACTATCATTTAGCTAAAGGATTACTAAAAAACATAATTAATAACTATCTTAACAATGTTAAAAATATTTGGAATAAAATAAATCATTAACATTAGACCTTTTTCACACAATACAATTTTAAAATTTAAATTAAATCAAAATATTATCACTGATCATACTATCATCTCTAGTATATCTAACCACTTTTTTATTACTATACCAGACAAACTACATAGCAAAGCCATACTTTCAAAGCACATCTCTAGTATATCTAACCACTTTTTTATTACTATCCAAGACAAACTACTAAACTAAATTTTTACTTTATCTAACAAATACTGTTTGTTATCATGATTATTGTTATTATTATTAATGTTATTATTATTTTTTTTATTATTTTAATAGTAATTGTTATGATCATTATTGTGATTATTATTTTGTTATTGTTTCAGACTTGATGGGTCATGTAAATGAAAATATTGGAGAATACTTACAAGTTGCTATAGATACACAAAATTTTCTTAAGATAGTATTCAAAACAGGTAAGACTGTAACCCTGGTAACATGTAAGATAGTATTCAAAACAGGTAAGACTGTTAACCCTTTGACTAAACAATAAAATTAAAAGACATTTAAAGAAATTCTACTAAAAAAAGTTTTTAGAAAAATTCAACTTAAAAAAAAAAAAAAAAAAAAAAAAATTTTTTTTCACAGTAAAACATATATAAATAATATATCAAAAGAATTTATGCACTGTTCAGTGGTACCATTTATAAATAACTAACACCAATATTGTAATACCAAAAGTCATAGTTTTGATGATCACTTTAAAAGCGGTGATCGTGGCTCACCGCACTTAAATGGAAAAGCCATAAACTGCTTTTCCATTAAGTGCAGTGCAATCATAGGGTTAAAGAGGGTAAAATAAACTAATTACCATTTAACAAGATAACCCTTTGATAGTCATGTTAACCCTTTGGCGACAACATTTAAAATCTGTTAATTATTTTTTTTTTTAGCTCTTTAATTTTTTTATTTATATTAAATATATATATATATATATCAACCCTCGGAATTAGGGTCGGCATTCGGCAATGCCGACCTAACTGCTGACCTGAAAGTATTTGAGGTCGGCAACAAATTTCCTCTTTTCTATGTTTTATGGTCCGATATTTGTATCAAATAGTTTTTGCTGACCTCATGCCGACCTCAAAAAGATTGAGGTCAGCATGGCCTTATTTTTCCTAATTCCGAGGGTTTATATATATACATATTCAATTTTTATTTGAATTAAAATTTTGCATTATTATGTGCGCATAAATGACTTTTTAAACAAATTAATTTTAAATTGATTAATTCCAGTAAAAAAATTACTTCCAGTAAGAAGATTACTTCCAGTAAAAAAAATGTAGATTGTTATGTGTGCTCAAATATCTTGAAATCATTAATGTTTCATTAATAAGAGATCTAGACTTTTCTTAAGTATGTTACAGATACATAAATACAAAAATACATAAAGTATATAATAATGAATTGCAGATATTTTTACTTAAAACTTAATGTAACATTAAATGTTGTTTTTTTCTGGTCATGGAATTATTTTTGGTCTTTAAGAGCTCAGTTTCATCATTCTCGTAAAAACTGTAAACAGTGTTGTTTTCTACTCAAGCCATTAAAATGTTTTTGTATTTCTTAGAGTATGAACAAATTTTTCAAGATTGGAAAATGAATAATTGGAAATGGACAGATAGTTTTGAGATTGATGCACTGCTATTTCAAGTAAAAGTTTTAAATTCAATCACAATGAAAATTATTTGACTCTTGAAAAACCTTTTTTTCATGCTTTTTTTGTTTGTTTAGGGAAAACATGCAATGGTTATCAATGCATTAAAAAATAAGGTATTAAGAATTCTTGAATAAAGCATTTTAGAATTTTTAAAAGTTTTTTATGTAATTTTATAACAAATTAAAATTAAATTGTAATAGTTATATAATTATAAAAATTAAAATTGCAGGTTTCTATGAAACATTTACTTCAGCTTTCATCTGCTCTTTTTTCATCAGGGTATCACAAGGTAATTTTTTGTTTTTAATTGCATTGAAAGTGACAACTTAAATAAAGTGAGTTTTATTTTGAGATTTTAGCAATAGTTAAAATGATTTGTTTAAAATTTGCAAGAGAAAATGCAAAAAATTATAAAATTAAAAAAAATTTGAAAAAATCATTATGGATACATATGTATTTTTTAAATTATGAAGTTAATTATTAAATTTAAAAGAAGTGGTTAAATCAAAACAAATTTAAATTTATTTAAGTTTATTTAAATATTAAATTTTTTTATTACTTAAATATTAAATTTTTTTATTATTCTATTAATATTATTTGATTAAGAAAAGTAAATACCAAAAAAATGTAATCACGTAAAACCATGTAAAGTGAATTTTTTTAGGTTGTTTTTTTTATGATCTAAACATTTTTTTTGTGTTAATGGTTACTAAGACAACTTGCGATTTGCAACTTTTTTTGTTTCTTTTAATAAAAAATGTTTAAATAGTTATATGCAAGGCAGGTTTAAGGGTCTTGGGGGCTCGGTGCAAAAATTATTTGGGGCTCATTCCTGAAAAAATATATTTAAAAATAAATGTGGCAAAAAACAAAACTATTTTTTTATTTACAGAGCAATTTTTTTAGCTTTCATATTGGCAATGTCAAATATGGCATCTTCAAAATTTATATCTTGCATCAGAGTTATTTCAGTTGTCTTTAAAAAAAGTGCATTTAAATGGCCATTTAACATTAAGGAATGGAAATCATTCATAACTCTTGCCATTTTTGAAAAAGTTTCTTCTGCACTATAATTGGTAATTGTATGATTTAGAAAAAATAGATATGCAATAATAACCTTCTAATTTATTCCTATAAATTATTCTATATATTCTAATTTATTCCTATAAATTGCTTCAAAACATTCTAGTGCATCCTAATCTTCTCATTTGAAATGAACTTGTAAAACTGGACAATTTTATCATGAAGTTGGTTAAGTTTGAAAATAAATACTACACAAGGATTTAGCAGCAGCAACAATGATAGGATCGGTCATGTCAGAGAACTAGTTAAAAAATCAAACTTTTTCTCTGCATACTCGTAAGAAAACTTTTCTTTCAAGGACATTTTTGACTTAATTTCAAAGAAAAAGCTAGAATAGAGATAGAGTGAGATGGTTTTAAAATTTTAAATGGTTTTAAAAGTTTAAGTGGTTTTTAATGGCAGTTTTCACTGCCATTTAAAACCACTTCACTCTGTATTCTCATCAACTCCTACAAAAATAAATTTTTGTGCTTCTAATTTCTTGTATTTTAATGCTTGTGTTGCTTAGTTACAGTAGCTTGATATTGCTTCAATTATATTCTTTATTTTTAAATTTACATTATGCTTATAACATAAGTTTGTTCTTTTAGGCCTATTTAGGTTATCAATTAAAACAAAAAAGTATAAAAATTACATTAAAAATTAAAGATATGATGAAGAACAAACAAAACAAAAAAAAAGAAAAATTAATTTTTGAATTGTTTAATTGTATTGATTAACATTGTCATGTTTAACATTAACATTGTTATGTTAATTTATGTATTAAAAAGCCAGACATTTTATACATTTGTATACCCTTGCAGAAGTGATATAGAGTTCCTGACAATTCCACAACTGCAGTAGAAATTTGGTGCCTCAGCTGGGTCTGAATTTTTTTGGGAGCCGGACACAGCTGCACCTATACGCCCAAGTATTAGATTTTAATATTTTTATATATTTATATTAGTATATAAAATTAATATTAATATAATATATCTAATTACTTAATGAATTTAAAAAAAGTTCTTGTAATTTTTTACTAACACAAACCTAATTTGTTGTTGTTGTTAATTTAGTTTTGAATTCGTTTTTTATAAAAACAGTGTAAGTACTATACTGGTATTATAATTTTAAATACTAAATTTCAACCAAGTATGTAACCATGTCACCCAAGTATTAGACATATACAGTCAAATTGTCTGATCAACTTGGCTGTATATGAATAACACATAATGAGTTAAACATTTAAAAGCTGGTGAAGCAAGCAAAAGGATTTTGAATTATCAATGTTTCTTTCATCCAATAATAGAAGAAAAAAATTATTAAAAAAATATTAAAAAAAAAAAAAATGTTTTAAGATTAAATAATAATTGCTTATTAAACTTGCTTAATTGTTTAATTAATTATAGTAATTAAAATAAAAGTTTGCATAAATAAATACAAATTTATAAAAATAGACACTAAGGTTATTAGAGAACTCTCTAAATGACTAATTTATAATTTTCAAAGAGTTTTTAAAATTTAAGTCGATGATTGAATTATGTTTTTTTTTTCCCACCAGATGGCATGTGAAACAGTGCTTCATGCTGTTAATCAATTGCATGTTTCAGCATTTGAAGATGCGCACATAGATGATAAAATGCACCAAAATCTAGAAGGTTTGACATACATATATATGCATTAATCTACATAAATATTTTTTTGCTTTAAGTGATCTCTTTTATGCTTATATCTGACCATTGTTTAGAAAACAATCTAAAAAAGAAAATTTAAAATGGCAGTTGTTCAACTATTTTTGTTTAAATACATCGTTTATGCTAAATTTAGTAAATATTAGATAAATGGTATTGGAAGGCCTACATGATATATATATATATTATATATATATATATATATATATATATATATATATATATATATATATATATATTTTTTAACATCTTCACTTTCAACAAGGCTGCAAGCAACCACTATAAGAGTTGGAAGTTACTGGAAGAAAAAAAACTAAATCTGTAGAGCAAGATAACGATTGACTGATGACTTAAAAGATTGCAAATTATATGAATCAGGAAAGCAAGATGAAGGAAGCGAATTCCAAAGAACTGATGTTCGAGGAAAAAAACTAGAAGAATAAGAGTTTTTGAAGCACTTAGGAACAGTCACAGAAAAAGGATGAGACTTAATTGAATGGCGAGTAACAGGAGAATGAATTTTAGTAGATGGCACAAAGGACGCTAGCTCTTTAGAGCAGTGCCCATTATAGTATTTGTAGAAAAGAGAAAGAGAAGCAACATTACGACGATGTGACAAAGGTTGGAGATTGGCTGCCAGAGCAGGTCCAACTATGTTTACAATTCGTTTTTGCACCTTGTTTAAAAGAGAAAGAGCATCATTAGAAGATCCGCCCCAGATGTGGCAACAGTATTCCATACAGGGACGGATTTGAGATTTATAGAGATAGAGAATAGAATCTGGAGTAAGAAAGTGTCGAGCTCGATAAAGAGATGCAACCTTAGCAGATGCTAATTTTGCAATGGATTTGATATACCGTTTAAAAGAAAGATCAGAAGTAAGAGTTAATCCTAGAAGATGAATGGTAGATGACTCATCTAGTACATTACCATTCATAAATATAGGAAGATCTAAATTATTACGATAACGATTGGCTGAATAAAATTGAGTTTTATCTGAATTAAAGTTCACCAGCCACTGTGAGCCCCATGCTGTAGCAGAAGTGAGATCCTTTTCAAGCTCAGATACCCCTCCAAGCAATCAGAGAGTGTAGGCTTCTTGTCATGACAAGAGTAAATGGTAGTGTTGTCAGCGAATAATGCCACCTTAGATGTGAGAATATCTGGAAGATCGTTAATGTAAATTAAAAAGAGTATAGGGCCAAGGATTGAACCTTGAGGAACCCCTGAAGTTACAGGATGTGAAGAAGAGTGTTGTCCATCGAGGACAACTTTTATACTACGATTGGAAAGAAAGGACTCAATAATCTTAAAGACGTTACCAGTTACACCATAAGAAGAAAGCTTATGGAGAAGACCAGCATGCCAAACTTTATCAAAAGCTTTAGAAATGTCAAGTGCGATAGCCTTAACCTCTCCACCTCTATCTAATGCACGGTAAAACCTATCGGTTATTACTGTTAGCACATCAGCTGTAGAACGAGAAGACCGAAATCCATATTGATGATCAGAAAGTAAGTTATTTGATTCAAGATGAGAGATTAAGTGTTTGTTGATTAAAGATTCAAAAACCTTGCTTATGACAGGAAGAAGACTAATGGGACGGTAGTTAGATGAATCAGATCGCTCTCCGGAATTTTTGAAAATAGGGATAACAGATGCTGCTTTCCAGCATGATGGAAAACAAGACTCTGAAAAGCACTTGTTAAATAGTTTAGAAAGTATGGATGAAAGCTCCGGAGAACACCTCTGCAAAACTACAACAGGAATGTTGTCAGGACCACAAGCTGTTAAAGAGTCTAAGCAGGAAATTACTTTAGATACAGAAGCTGAAGTGATGCGAATGTCAAGCAAGGGATCAACCTGTTTGACGGCTATGTCAGGTAAAACGCAACTAGTGGAATCAAGAGATGATATTGATGAAAAGTTCTTAGCAAACAATTCAGCTTTGTCTTTAGGTGAGGTGACAAAGTCTGAACCATACAAGAGAGAAGGAATAACAGATTTGCCCTTATTATTGATACTGTTAAAGATTCTCCAGAAGTCTCGAGAGCCTAATTTTTGTGATGAGATACGAGATTTAATGACCTGGGAATAGCGAGCTTTGGCGTCAGACAAAACCTTTTTACAATGGTTTCTGGCGATAGTGAACAGATGTCTGTTTTCTGGAGAATTGTTTTGCTGATAGATATGGAAGTAACGGTTTCGATTAGAAATTGCTGCAGCGCAATGTGAGGAAAACCAAGGAGAAGAGTGAGGCTTGACCTGGAATCGTCGAGAGGGAATAAAAGATTCCATGCCAGCCTGAATCCACGAAGTTATGTAAGAAGCACATTTGTCAGCAGGAAGACGAAAGATTTCTACCCAAGGGCCATCACGAAGAAAATCACGGAAAGAGTCCCAGTCAGCTTTAAGGTAGTTGTATGTGGTACGATGATAGGGGGATTCTGATGAAGTAGAAGAATTTGATAATAGTTTTAGAGAGATCAAACCGTGATCAGAAGTACCTAAGGGTGAATGTGGAGAAATTGAGCACTGACTAGGATCCAAAACAAGACATAAGTCGAGTAGAGAAGGTAAATGATTAGGGTTGTCTGGAAAACGAGTTGGAAAGTTGACTATTTGAGTTAGGGATTGAGAAAGGCAAAAGTTGAGGGCCTTAATGCCAGCAGAGTCACTGACACTAGAGCCAAGCCAATCCGTGTGATGGGCATTAAAGTCACCAACAACGACGATATTGGCCAATGGATAAAGAGAGAGGGCTTGGTCAATTTGATCAGAAATAACATCAAGAATAGTGCAATCTTGGGATGAAGGAGAGCGATATAGAACAAAGAGAAAGGCGATAGAGTGAAGTTGTGCTAAACGAAAGCACATAAATGAATAGTCTGTAGATTCAAACCTAGTTTCACGACAAATGGATGAGTTCTTACAAATGTAGATGCCCAGGCCAAGCATGTGATTATTGGAGTCATTACGAATTAAAGGAAGATAACCATCAACACTAAGATCACAAGATGGGACAGCCGAACTCAAATTAGTCTCACAAAGAGCAAGTAGGTCTGGTGAACTTTGCAAGAGATAAGACTCAACAGAAGAAAAGTTACTTCGAAGACCACGAATATTAGTAAATGATAGGTTTAGAGAACTTGGTGATGACGATGGTTTTTTGTGTTTTTTAGTTTTAGGTACTTTAGTCATTTTAAATTTATAAAGAACTTGACTCAAGTATAGATAGTACTCAGTACACTATTTAACAACTAAGCAATAGCCTCATTACTATTAATAAACCCTAAGCCGTAACAAAGGGCTCCAAATGTGGCCTCTGCAATGCACACCAAAAGTACAAACAGGGACACCATCCATGCGCAACATGGCACTGTTAGTACTCTGATATTTTTTGGCTGTTGATGGAATCAGCCTCTCTGAGAGCTACCACAGAGTTCAGGAAACCTGACTACCAGCCGGCCTCAGAACCATAAAACTGAGTTTTAGAGCTGTACCCTCATTAGGAGATAATAGAATGAGTTGCCCAGTCATAAAAATAGAGACACAAGCAATACCCACGCATTGAGTCAAGAAGATCCAGCGTTCAACATCCTAAACTGGAAACAATGTATTAAAAATACATCTGCGCCAGCCTAATAGATGAGGAAGGGGTGCGAGGCTGGTCAACAGATAGAATCTGTTTACCCCTTAAGTCTTTGCCTAGGAGGCCTTCTACAAGACAGCAGCTGGATGCATGTAACATCTGCCCAAGATGAGTATTTTTATCGAGACACCATCTCTAGCCTTTACTCAACCAAGAGCCCCAAGGCAGGGGGTGTTTTAATTCGGAGTTAACTTCTCCTAGCCTTTGCCTAAAAAAGCGTATCCTACAAGGCAGCAGGACATGGAGCAGGTTGTACTGGGTTACACGTTACCAGTAGCAGGAAAACCTGACCTGACCAGAATATATATATATATATATATATATATATATATATATATATATATATATATATATATATATATATATATATATATATATATATATATATATATATATATATGAACAAGCACACATTTATTTACATTTATTAAACATTTATTTTTGTATATAAAGATTAGAGTAATTATTTATTTTTAAAACCTTCTACTTCATTTTTAAAATTTACTTTATTTATATTTCTAATTATTTTATAAATCCCCGCTGGCCTGACTTAGGGTCAATTACATTTGGTTCATGAAAAACCAAAAAAAAAGAATTTAAAATTAAACCTTAATTTTTTTCATAAATTATTTTGACTTCAATGTTGATTGTAGATAAAGAGTATAATAAAATTTTAAGAAATATGTTGACAGGAACTGCAGTAAGGGGACGTCCATAAAGTACGTACGCTCATAAGGGGAGGGGGGAGGTCTTCAAAAAGTTTACAAAAGCGTATGAGGAGGGGGGGGGGGGGGAAGAGTTCAATTTAAAAGTACGTACTTTGATTTTCTAATATTACACAATTAACCAGCTAGTCAATAGAAAAGTTAAAATTCTGTTAAAATGGGCGCCCGCAGGATTTTTTGATGTTCCAGATAAACCACTTCAACACATTGTGCAAACTTCAAACTTAAGTATGTTTATACCTATGCCATTTGAAGAGGCCTTGTAAAAAATT